AGCCTGGATTTGAGTTTAGGTCTTCCTAAAGCTCAGCACTCTATTAATTGTGTCACCTAGCTGGCTCTATACCAATGCCTGATACTTGATAAATATTCAGTAAATTAATATTGATTGATTGATTGGCTTAGAAAGAGGACATGGGTTCAAATTCAGCTCTTCTACTTTCCGTGTGATTTTGGTCAAGTCACTTTCCATTTCTGGTCCTCAGTTTCTTTATCAGTAAAATTGAAGGGTTTGATTAGATAGATTATTATTATTATTAGATAAATTAGATAAAGTACTCTCAAGCCTATGAGGGAGAGGGAATCCTGGGGGATACTCATTCTGCACAGAATAGGTAAATTACAGTTATATTTCCCCTTTCCCCTTACTTAAGTTTATGTAATTTTAACTTTTTAACCAGGCTCTTAATAGGCTAATTGGTGGTGGTCTTCCTCTTAGGCTGGCCAATTTCTTCTTAATCCTTCCTTGATAATTCCACACTTATATAAAGATTATAGCCTTAATCCAAACTAGAACAATGATTATCTCTGAGTAAGAATAGCCTTCTGGGTCCCACTGCCCTCTGCTTCTGGCCTAAAAGCACTGCTTCTTCTTGGTAGGTCTGAAAACCCAAAATGGAGCTATTTCTTGCACTCAGTGAAATCGCTCTGAACTGGTTTCTCCATTTCATCTTTTTCCTGTATACCTTTCCATCTAGCCTTAGCCAGGTCATACAGTCTGACAAACAATTCTATCTTGGCACAAGATACAGCCCATCTGAAACTCATTACCTTATGATTACTCCTAGGAAGAAAGGAAGGAAATAAATGTTTATTGAGCACCTATGTGCTAGACACTGTGCTAGGTGTTCTACAAATATTAGTTCATTTGATCCTCACAACAACCTGTGAAATACTAGATGTTATTATTAAACCCAGTTTACAGTTGAGGAAACTGAGGCAGACAGAGGTTAAGAGACATGCCCAAGGTCACCCAGTTAGTGTGTCTGAGGTCATATTTGAACTCAGTTCTTCCTGACTCTTGGGGCACCTAGGTGGCACAGTGGATCTGGAGTCAACAAGACTTACCTTCCTGAGTTCAAAGTTGGCCTCAGACACTTTCTAGCTTTGTGACCCTGAACCCTGTTTGCCTCAGTTTCCTCATCTGTAAAATGAGCTGGAAAAGGAAATGGCAAACCACTCCAGCGTCTGTGCCGAGAAAACCCTAAATGGGGTCACCAAAAAATGACTTAACGGCTTTCTGACTACAGGCCCAGTGTTTAGAGTACTCCTAACTTCTGAGGGAGGATTATTCTCAAATTTTCCTACATTGGGGAAGTCTCTTTCCCTTTACCCAATTTGGAGTCATATGTCTACAGCTGGAAGGATCCTCAGAGATCATATAGTCCAACCTTCCTCATTTTACAGATGAAAAAACTGAGGCCCAGGAAAGTTATGGAACTTATCCAAGGTCACACAAGTAGTAGGCATCAGAACAAGTTTGGAACGCAGGTCCCAGGAGTGGACTGGGTTCTAGTGCCAATACTCTTTCCACCTGTAACTCCTTGCCTCCTTGTAAAGGTGAAAGCCTTTTTCATTCATGTATTGTAACCAGTTGTTGGGTTAATCACATCATGCAATTCTGACCTCCTACACATTGTTTGATGAGCCGATGGTGCTATTCCAAGCAGTAATCCTGCTTCTGGACTCATTTGTCACGTGGATGAAAAAACAAACAAACCAGCGGCTGTGAAGACACCCCCACCTCCTCTTAGTCAGGCATTCCTGACTAAGGCTTTGTAATGGGGACAGGAAATCAAGTTCCTCATCAATGCTCTAGTCTCTACAAAACAGAATAGTCTTTCATCCCAAATGTTTGCAAACATCTTAGAAGCCACTTCAAACACCTGCAGGCTTCTCTTGGGATAGACAAAACAGTTGCCTGGACCTCAGAAGACACAAACAGTGCAAATCCTAGTGCTCATTTTTCTGTTTCTGAGGTGAGATTCATTTCTCATTCTTGGGTGTACTCCAAGAAGATTCTTATTCTCTTTCAGGAGAATTACCCAAATGGCCAGAGAATGTTACTGCCTCTACACAACCTAAAGCTAATAAAAAACACTAACCAATTAAATGATGATAAAGTCTTTGAGTCTGTAAAAAGTATTATGCAAATACTGACTAATAGTAATACTGTAAATCTGCAGAGCAAATAAAAGCTGGGTCGAGCAAAATTATAGTAGCTTTTATTTGCATTTCTACAGAACCTGTTATTAGTGGATCTTAATATGCTTTATAAGTAATCATTATTAACCCCTATCACAAATTGGAGAAGTAAATAGCATTTTGTTGAGGGAATAAGCAAGAATCCCCTCTCTCTCATAAATAGCTCTAGGCCTAATTGCCCATGTGCAAATTAAGAACTACTTATACTGAGGATATTTATGGACTAAGGACTCTCTTTCACTGGGGGTTTTATAAGTCCCCGAAGCTGACTCATGAATTCAAACCCAGTGTTTCTTCTTGTTTTATCTGCTAGCCTGGAGAGTGGTTCAATTTACTCTTTCTCTCTGTACAGTATTAGAACACAAGAGTTTGTTTCGGGAGCTCTACATGCTTAATATCCCCAACAGGAATTCACTGGCATGTTAAATTCCATCCCTTTGTCCCCTGATTGCTGTGTGTAATTTGGAAACAAAAGGCCTTGTTGGTACAGCAGGTTTGGAACGAGCCTTCTTAAAGACTAGGCTGATGAAATCAAGTTCTCATGAAAGTATCTTTAAAAATAAATTATTTTGCAAAGATTTTCAAGGCAGCGACAACCTCACCATTCTTTTATGCAAGGACCTCACTAGTTCCTATGCTCACTATTCAGGGAGGGGCCTTATTTACTTGTTTGCACATCCAACAGCTTGAGCTGAGGTAATAATAACTACATTTACATATCATTTTAAAGTCTGCAGAACACTTCCTATGTATGCTTGTTCTCATTTGAGTGTTATGATAATCCCTTTGAAGTAGGTGCTATGGGGATTGTTAACCCCATTTCATAGATGAAGGAACTAAGACCGGAAGAGAAGGAAGGTGGTTTGTGGGAGTTCACACAAATAGTTAACGTCAAAGCTTGAACTTTCAGACTTCCTGACTTTCAGTCCAAAGTTTTATATTTTTTGTATAGTGTCTGTTGCGGTTTGAAATGTGAAGGAGTAGTATTGAAATTATAATAACTTACATTTAAAGCGCTTCATAATGTCCAAAGAGTTTTCACATACTTTATATAATTTACTTTTTGCAACATCTCTGTAAAGTCATTAGCTTTTTTTTTTTTAATCCCCATTATATGGACTAGGAAACTGAACTTGAGAGGCTTAGTGATTTCTTCCAGGTCATACAGCCAATAGAATGTAAACTCCTTGAGGGAAGAAGCTAAATCACTTTTCTATTTCTATCCCCAATGGCTCGCCATAGCCTGGTACACAGTAGGTGTTTAATAAATGATTGCTGATTAGTAATAAGTGGCTAAGGGGGAGAGTCAAACTTGAGTCTTTTCTGACTCCAAGTCCAATGCTTTCCCTGGAAACCCCCTTCTCCCTCCATTATGAAACCACTATAACTTCAACAGTAACAACAATAGCAACTCACTTTCTGTAGCCTTCGAGAGCTAAAAGCAATCCTATGAGTTAGATAATAATTATTGCTAATATTTATATGATTCTTTACATAACATCATCTCATTTAATTCTGACAATAGCATGAGATGGGTTCTATTTCACAGATTAGAAAATTAAGTTTCAGATTGGTTAAGTGACTTGCCCAAGGTTATAATGATAGTAGGTGTCAAAGTCAGAATTCAAACTCAAGTCTTACCATTCCATCACTTACATTGATAAATGAATAAATGAAAATTTTTTTTTTAGCACTTACTATGTGCAAGTCATTGTGTTAAGCTCTGGGGACACAAATAGGAAAAAAAAAACCCAAACAAACACAAAGACAGCCCCTGCTCTCAAGAAGCTCACATTCTGATAGGGGAAGACATCACATATAAGGAGGTTTTATAAAGCACCTCATGTCCTTTAGCGTGAAATAGCAAAGCAGATGGAAATAGATGTTTTAAAGTATTTCCATCAATAAAACTGTATCTATTTCTGATGCTGAATCATTCCACAGTGCCAAGGACTTTGGTGATGAGAACTTTCCTTTCCATGTCTTCAGCACATGAAGAGGCAGTTAGTTGCCAGGCTTCAGGTCTGCAAAGGCTGATTCCCCAGATCATACCCTCAGAAGGTGGGCTGGAGGCCCAGCCCAGTGATCAAAGGGGGAGGGGCTCACTGCTATTCTGGGGTTCTTGGGCTTACCAGCCCACAGATGGAAGTTGGTTGGTCATTTGTTGTTGATCAAGTCAGAAAATCAGTAAACATTTATTAAGCCTTGACTGTATTCCAGGAATGCAATGGGGATACAATAGAAAGGCAAAAAGCAGTCCCTTCTCTCAAAAAACACCCAATCTAATGGGAGATAATCAAGATGAGGCAGCTAGATGGCAGAACGAATAGAGTGCTGGACTTAGAGTCAGGAAGACCTGACTTGAAATCCTTCCTCAGACACTATTTTGGTGGCCCTGTGTAAGTCATATAACCTCTCAGCCTCAGTTTCTTTGTCTGTAGTAAAGGGTTAATGATGACACATATTTCACAGGGTTGTTATAAGGATCAAATGAGAGAATATGCCTGTATTATACAATATATATTATGTTATAGTGTGTGTGTGTGTGTGTGTGTGTGTGTGTGTGTGTGTGTGTGTGTATGGCTTTTGGCTTTGAGCTATCCCTGACTATATCTAGGAAAAAGCTTCAGGCCATGCCTTGTATCCTTAGGTGCCTTTGATTGGTATCTGGGAAGGAAGAGGGGAGGGTTACTTTATGACTTTATAAGTTGGCCATATGTCTATGCCAGGAGGGCTGGATGATCTCATAAGAATTGTCATTTTTCTTTTTATGTCCCCCCCTCCTCCCAGGCAAAACTGAAGCTGCTGTCAAAAACTTCAGCCCACATTATCGTCGCCAATATTCTGTGGCCTTCTGCAATGATGTTCGGAGTGAAGTTGAACAGCATAGAGATTTGAGGTCCCAGTTCTTAAAAACCAAGGTAACCTAAGTCTTGGAGAAATGTTTATAGAACGCTAGGTCTAGGAACAGTTTCTTGGCCTTCTCATTCATACATCTACATTTGCCACTGGGGAAACTTTGAAATAACCAATAACTTGGAATAGCGGATAAAATAGGGATTTGTCCTAAAATTGTTTAGAGCCCAGGAAGACAGCAGCATAATCTGTCTGGAAGCCAGAGCATATGATTTCCTGCTGACAGAGTTGCCCATATAAAAAGAAAAATGGCACTCTTCTGTTTTCATTACATATATATATATATATATTTTCATTTTGATGGTTTGATATCAGGAAATTTGCATTGCTGTGTAGAGCATTAGTAAAAATGTCAAGGTTTCAGTGCCTCAACACTATTAGGATTTTCATTTTGTTGATAGATTCCCCTGGGTTTCTGTTTCAATCCCTTGAATACAAATAGACTATATGCCCTTTCTCCCCTTTTCATTTATATTCATAACCCATGACCGTAAACGCTTATTGAGTCTTGTTTTGACTGAAAATTTCAGCTAGGCTGACATCCCTGGAGACTGATTGATGTCCCTATAGAGCTGTAAGGTTCAGCTTCTGCTTTGGATTTGGGGGCTCCTTCCTCTGAAGGAGAATGAAGGGGCATCTCTTTTGGCCCTTTCAGGAGTCCAAAAAGGGTATTGTTTAATATGTACTTAACAAATAATCATTGGTAAGGTAATGAGAGCCTTTAAACATTAAAATTAGGGAGGGGAAGAGGATTTTCTCCCCAAGATATATTTAAAGTAGGATTATATGCCAATTATTTAGAATGATTTAGATTAAAATTCTATTTGGAGGCAAAGGGATAGATTGGATAACTTATGATTCAGTGGGAAGAATTCTGGATTTGGAGTCAGAGAACGTAAGTCTGATTCCCCCCTCTGCTACTTTTCACCAGTGAGACCTTGTTTAGGTCACTTCATTTCCTTGGGTGTCAGTTTTCTTGATTGTAAAATGAAGGAGTTGGACCAGATGATCTCTGGCCTGCTTTCAGCCCTAACTCTATGACCTTGTGACACAAGTTTTAAACAAAACTGCAACGTAATATGTAAAAGACAGTAGACTCATCATTTTTTATAAGACAAATAGTGAAGGGGTAATAATCCCCCTGAGTATCTACAGACCAGGCATATTGTGTATGCATATTGTGTATAGTTAAACAAAGAGGGGGGTCAACTGGAAATCTGTCTGTTTGCTCAGTCAATTCTACTTCTTAATCTAATACAGAGCAAAGAGAAGAGGTAAATAATGAATAATCAGGATTGGGGTGGGGGAGAAGTGGAGAGAGACACAGGGAAGGAGGAAGGAAGAGAAAGGGAAGGAGGGAGTGAGAGGGGGGGGGAGAGAGAGAGAGAGAGAGAGAGAGAGAGAGAGAGAGAGAGAGAGAGAGAGAGAGAGAGAGAGAGAGAGAGAGAGATGATTTCTTTTAAGATTCCTGTTAATATTGAGTCCAGGATTAATTTGAAAAGACATGAGTCCTTGCTTCACAGGAGCTAATTATAACCTCCTAGTAATCACAGAGATGTAAATTAAAACAACATTGAGGTACCACCTCACACCCATTTGAGTTAGCAAAATACTGCTTGTGTACTTATGAAGAAACAATTATAAACATTCATTGCTTTTGGAATTGCAAACTTATAAAATTCTTTTGGAGAGCTATCCATCAACAAGCATTTATAAGCCCCTACTATGTGCAAAACATTGTGCTAGATGTTGGGGATACAAATTCAAAGAATGAAACAATGCCTACTGACAGTTTAGAAGTATGCAATAAAAGCTAAAAAAAACCCCAAACCACCCCAAAACCATATCCTTTGGTCCAGTACTTCCATTGTTCAGAATATGCCTTGGAAGTGTTCTAAAAAGTTAAAAAAAAGGAGCTATCTTTTCATGATTTTCATAGCAACATTATTTATAATTGCAAGAAATTGGAAACAGTAGTGGATGGGAAAGAATGGACAAAGAATCCAGATGAAGACTTAGAGAGAGTGACTCAAAAGCTGTTATTACAGTTTATACATTGAAATTATTTTATTTAAATGTAAATAACTGTAAGGTGTGTTTCCTTATCTATATTGATTAATAATATGGAGCTCATGATAAATCAATAAAAAAGAACTAATTATATTAATTCTCTTTTAGCCATCTTTGGATACAGAGACAGTCTTGTATGAAGGAGAGCTGTCCCACTTCGCAGATGACCTAAAGAAATGGAAAGACAGATACATTGTGGTTAAAAATGATTTTGCAGTGGAGAGCTATGAGAACAAAGAGGTAAAACTTGTTACCACCAGTTTTTGATGTTTTCTTGGACAGTGGTTGGGTGAGTCGGGATGCCCATTCCTTCCTGATTCAGTCAATGAAATTCATCTTTCCCTGATAATTCTTGTACTGTGCCCCATAGATCAATTAATTAAGGCTCTGTTGGGAAAGGGAAATTGAGCTCCAAAACTCAGTTACTTCCATTCAGATTTATAAATGGCAGGAGTCATTTTCTTGAGAAAAACTGACTTTAGTGTTTTAGCTATAGATGACTAGACATTCATATAGGTATGGGGAGTAACTTCCACCAGCTTCCATTAGCTGATATAGTAGGAAAGAGGAAAGTAAAACGTAGATGAAGGGAATGGTACTAGTGAGTGTGTCCAGATCTGGGGTACAGTAGCCTCTCTAGTGCCAAGTCAGCCTCAGGCTCTCTCATGTGATTCCATTGAGTCTCCTTGTAATCTGTCCACCAGCCTTCACTAGCCCCACCCCTGTTTTTCCTTTCTGCTTTAGGGTTTCTGCTTCTGTATGCTCTTAGGCATCTAATGCTATGAGAGATCTTGGAGATTGTGATGGAGTGAAAAAAAAAAGGATTAGATTAGGAGTGAGAGGATCTGCTTTCATATTCTGACTCTGCTCTTTACTATCTATTTGACCTTGAGAAAGTCACTTAACCTTTCTCAGTCTCAGTTTCCTCATCTGTAAAGTATGTGTATGGGTGTGGGATGTTAGCCTAGATCAGGAGTTCTTAACCTTGTTTGTTTCACAGACCCCTTTGGCAGTGTCTGGTGAAACCTATGGACCCCTTTTCAGAATCATGGTTTTAAATACATAAAATAAAACACATAGGTTTACAAAGGAAATAAATTATATTAAAATATAGTTATCAAAATATTTTAAAAAATAAGTTCAGAGTCCCCAAGTTAAGAACCCTTATACTAGATGATCTTTAATGTCCCTTGTACCTTTGAAATCCTTTGATACAATATATTTATGTTTGAATTAAGTCAAACTTCCTAGAAACTCAAAAGCCAGCTCTTCCTTCCTTTCCCTTCTTTCTTTCCCTTCCTTCCTTCTCTTCCCTTCCCTTCTCCCTACTTTCCCTATAGATTTTTTTTTTTTACTTATAATGTTCTTGCTGCCTCCATTTGTATATTTATAATGTCTGTTCATGGTGAGGGGAAGTGTACATTTTTCATTATTCCAGTTTTATGAATAAGGAAATGAAAGCACAGAGAAAGTAATAGCTTATCCCAATTCATACAAAGGCAAGGTCAAATCTACAACTCAAGTCTCAGTACAGTACTGGTTAGGAAATATCTGCAAAGCAGACCAGACAAGTTCCCATCACGCCAATCCATTAGGCATTGAGTGTTCAGGGCTGGTAGGACAATGGGATTCTGCTCCTATAATCTCTATTCCAAAAGCCTATTGGAGAATGGAAATAAAGCTCACAGTCCCACCAGTAAATTCCCAAATGACTTCTGGTGTAGAGCTGTGCCTAGTCAGGACTCATTACACTAGACTCTGTCTCTGCCCATCTGTCCAAGTCATTTACGACTTGATTCAACACATGACTGACTCCCTGAAGCAAATTAACAGCAAGGGCATACTGCAAAACTCAGGCACCATCTGCTCCACACAGTTTAGTCATTTTCTCAGGATGGCCCCTACATTTAGCACTAGTTGGTTTTATGTTGATCTTGGCCTCTGTGTTTACAAACAACCATAGCCGTTTTTTAAAGCTGCCCTTCCATGTGAAATTGAACTGATGAGCTATTTTCTCCTGTTTGTTTACCATTCTCAGAATGTTCAGGTGGTTTGGGTGTGGTGATTACTAGGTATGGTGATGATTACTGCTTTGACTGTGGGAGTGATGCTAAAAAAGCAAAGTTTATTTCAGAGTCCCGCGTCTGTTTAGGTCGCTTACCATTTTAGAACATGTTCTGAATAATATTTGTATGATACTTTTGATTTGTATTGTAATATTCTCATATGTGCTTTGCACTTACATGTTGCCCATTGCAGTTCAGGGGTCCTACTTTCAGTCTAGGCCAATAATCGAGGTGAGAATAACAATAACTGATGTTGTAAAGTGCTTTTTCTGAAGCACTTTAAATACATTATCTCATTTGATCCTCCCAACAACCCTACTATGTAAGGTTTTATAGCTATTATCTCCATTTTACAGATGAAGGAAATAAAGGGGGCTCAGAGAAGTTAAGTCTCTTGCTCAGGGTCACACAGCTAGGTTGTGTTAGATAGGATTCAGTCCCAGGTCTTCTTGGCTTCAAATCCATCACTTGGTTTACCATGCTTTGCTGCTACTAGGCAGGAAATAAGAAGGTAGCTAGGTGGCACAGTGGATAAAGTACAGGGCTTGAAGTCAGGAAGAACTGAGTTCAAATCTAGCCTTAGATACTTATTAGCTGTGTGACCCTGAGCAAGTTACTTATATATGCCTCAGTTTCTTCAAATGTAAAATGAGGACAATAATAGCACCTACATCCCAGGGTTGTTGTAAAGGTCAAATGAATTATATTTGTAAAGCACTTGGTAAACCTTAAAGCGCTATATAAATGTGTGCTATTATTAATATAATTTAAGTTAATAGTGTTCTATCCTTTCTTGATTTTTCCTAGAGCAAATTTTTGGCATTGTGGGACCCCATCACACTCAACTTTGTATCATGCTTATTTGTATACATGTTGTACCTGACCTAGTAGTTCATCTTTGTAGCCCTATCTTACCCAGTGTCTTGCACAGATTAGGTGCTTAGTAAAAGTTCATCAGATTGAAGATCTAGCTAGTCAGGGAAGAATCACAAACTTTATATATATGCCATCTATAAAACAGATGGTTTTCCGACTAGATGACTAAATGACTTCTGTTCGTCATCTTGAACTGGATGTCCTCCAGACATCTTAAACTCAACATGTCCAAAACCAAACTCAGTATCTTAGCCCCCCACTCCCTGCCCACACCTACCCCTGTTTCTAATTTCCTATCACAATAGACCAAAGGTGATTAGATTAAAATGGAATTGGGAAATGTTTAACAAACTAAATAAAAATGTAATACAACACAGATACTCTTAATTTTCTAAGTCAATATACTGCTATAGGGATCTATTTCTATTTGAGTTTGACACTATTGCTGTAGACAGTATAGCTATGTTCTAGGTCATCCAGTCTCAGAACCTAGATATCCCCCTCAACTCCTCACTCTTTCTCATCCCCTCGTAGCCAGTCTGTTGCTAAGTCTTTCTGATCCCACCTTCACATTATCTCTAGTATATGCCTTCTTCTCTCCTGTGACATTGTTATCATCCTGGTACAGACCTTTGTCATCCCCCATCTAGACTATGGCAATAGCCTACTGGTTGGTCTCCCTGCTTTAAGTCTTTCCTCAACTCCAGTCCATCTTTCATTCAGCTGTCAAAGCAGTCGACCTAAAGTATAGATCTGATCATATCACCATCCCATCCCCACCCTGTTACATGACACTGACAGTGGCCTTCTTACTCTTCCTTCAGCAAGACACTCCATTTCCTCACTCTGGGCATTTTCACATGCTCTCTCCTCATGCCTGAACTCTCTCCTTCATTTCCGTCTTCTAGCTTTCTTCAAATCTCACCTTAAGTTCCACCTTTGACAAGAAGCCTTTCCCAGTCCTCTTTAATCTTAGTGCCTTCCCTCTGAAATTATCACCAATTTATCCTGTATATATTTTGTTTGTATATGGTTATTTGCTTGTTGTCTTCTGTATAAGACTGTGAGCTCCTTGAGGGCAGGTGCCATATTTTTGTCTTTTTTTTTTGTATCTCTAGCACTTAGTGTAGTGTGTGGCATATACTAAGTGCTTAATAAATGCTTGTTGACTTGACTAGTTCCTTCTGGTTCTAGTTCCCATGATACAATACTGTAGTCCCCAACCCCTTCACTTTACACATGAGTAAATTCTGAATGATTGTATATTATTCTACATTTATTTAGCAGAATCACAGAATCTCAGAGTTAGAAGAGAGCTCAGAGGCCATTTTGCCTAATCTATGCCTGAGTAATAATCTCCTTTACAACATACTTGATGACGTAGATCTACAATTAGGCAGAGCCCACTACCCCCCAAGGCAGCCCATTCTACTTTTGGAATTGTTGGCTCTAATTATTGAGGGTTCTTTTTTTTAAATTCTTACTTCAAATCTAAATTCACTTCTTGGCAACTTGTATTCATTGCTTCTAATTCATCCATCTTGGGCCAAGCAGAACAAGTTTATTCCTTCTTCTTCTTCTTCTTCTTTTTTTTTTTTTTAGGCAATTGGGGTTAAATGACTTGCCCAGGGTCACACAGCTAGTAAGCGTCAAGTGTTTGGTCTGAGGCCAGATTTGAACTAAGGTACTCCTGACGTGCTCTATCCACTGCGCCACCTACCTGCCCCAAGTCTACTCCTTCTTGCATGTGATAGCACTTCCATTACTTAAAGACAAATATCATTCCCCTGTCAAACTCTTCTCTCCTCCCTGATAAACATTCAGAGCTCCTTCAGCTGATCTTCAGAAGCATGAACTTGAGGTCTTTTACCATCCCAACTACCCTTCTTCAAACACTTTCCAGCTTATTAATGTCCTTCCTAAAATAAAGTGCCCACAATGGAACACAATCTTCCAAGGGTCGTATGACTAGGGCAGAATAAGGCAGGGATCCAGCCTCTCAATGTTCACATTGGACATGGAATCCACTAAATCCCTCCAAACTTTTTCAGACAAATTGCTTTCTAGCCAGCAAAAGGTGGACAAATTCAAATTATTTATTGTTATTACCATGATCCTCCTGGTGCAATGTTGACTTCTGATTTTGTGCCAGGGCATAATGAATCTTCCATTTAATTACTTGGCTAATACGTACAGAACATCTCCATTGCCAAAAGAATTGCTTGTACTTTGTTCTTCCATCTGTTTTTAATGCTTCTTCCTCATCTACGTACTTTTTTGTCTTGGGTTAACTTTTCATTAAGTTATGTGATTTTATGAAACTTATGAACAAGCAGAATTTCTTATGTGTTAGAATGTATCTTGTATCGTAGTTCTATCCCAGTATGCTTTGCTGTTACAACATATTCTTATGTGTAGGAAAAGCTTGGGAATACAATCTCAGTGGTGTTATTATTGCTGCTGATAATCATTAAAGCTGGTGGATGACATCTGATTATGAAGTATTCTGTTACCTTGTTAGCTGCATTCCATCCTGCCATCAAGTCAAGCGAGTTTTCATATGTAATAATTTTTAGTGCTAATCATCATTTCTGAGAGAGATGGGGGAGAGGACCTGGAGTGAACCTGGAGTCAGGAAGACCTGAGTTCAAATCCAGTCTCAGAGACTTACTAGCATAATCCTGGTCAAATCACTTTGTCTCTGTCAGCCTCAGTTTCTTTATCTGTGAAAATGGGGATAATCATAGCACTAACCTCCTGGGGTTGTTGTACAAATAAAATGAGGTATTTGTCAAGTACTTTGCAAATGTTAAAGTGCAATGTAGACACTAGCTATTATTCTTTTTATCATAAGACAGTGTGTTATACACCTTTGGTTTTTTTGTTTTTTGTATTTTCCAAGTTAACTCTGATTTTTATTAAAATCCAAATGAAGAAATTGTTAATTTTTTCTTTTCTTCTTCTTCTTTTTTTTTTTTTTAACTTTTCTCTGCCTAGGCCTATCAGAAAGGAGCCAATCCTAAAAGTCGAATTCTCCCAGCAGGCGGCAAAGTTTTAACTTCTGAAGAAGATTACAATTTATTATCTGACCGACATTTTCCTGACCCTATTGGTGAGTTGGTTAGCATCTTTCCAAGTCAGAAAGATAGAGTTTGCTTTGGTTTCAATTCCACATGTTATTATAATAATAATTATTATGATAATATTAGATAACTTGCATTCATGTAGCAAAGATTTGCAAAGGAACTTGTATGTATAATCTCATTAGATGACATTGGGTAAATGACATCATCATTGACCCAATAGCTATGATTTTGAACAATAGTAATGATGATGAAACATTACATTAATGTAGTGCTTTAAATTTTTTTTTTTTGCTTTTTGGTGAGGCGATTGGGGTTCAGTGACTTGCCCAGGGTCACACGGCAAATTGTCATCATGTGTCTGAGACTGGATTTGAACTCAGGTCCTCCTGACTCCAAGGCCAGAGCTCTATTCACTGTGCCACCTAGCTGCCACATGTAGTGCTTTACATGTAACAAAGTACTTTCATCACAACAACCCTGCAAAGTAGATTGAGCCAGTCAAATTATTCTGAGGAGGAAACTGAGACTCAGACATCAGATGACTTGTTCAGGGTTACTCAGCTAGCAAGAGACAAAGAAGGGACAGGAAGCCAGGTCTTCACATAACAGATCCAGGGCTCTTTCCATTAGACATGGATGTAAAACAGAATACAATTTGCCCGTTATATTTTTGGGGCAGCCAGGTGTGGCGATAGATAGAGCACCAGGCCTGGAGTCAGGAAGACTCATCTTCATGAGTTCAAACCTGGCCTCAGACATTTACTAGCTCTGTGACCCTGGCAAGTCACTTAATCCTGTTTTCCTCAGTTTCCTTGTCTGTAAAATGAGCTGCAGAAGAAAATGATGAAGCATTTTAGTATCTTTGCCAAGAAAACCCCAAAAAGGGGTCACGAAGAGTTGGACACGACTGAAAGTCTATGTTCAGTGCTCAGAAACTGTACTACTGCTCTGGAGACCCTGAGACCTTTTGTGGTGAGCTGGGTCTTTGGAGAATGCCATCTGAAGTAGCAGAAATAGACTGTCATGGCTCAATCACGAAAAGGCCCAGGGTTAACTTTTCCACCATGAACAGACCAATCAAACCCTTTGGTCCCTGATCCACTAATCTTACGTTCAGTGGTGACACCTCTGTGGGATGTAGTACTTAAAACCTTGGACTGATGGAGTAATCTAGTAGAGTTTATGGAAAATATGGCATTCCTCAGAATTCTGTTCCATTTTTATCTAGCATCACTTGATAGTAATGGGCAGTATGGTTTAGAGGAAAGAGCACAGGATTTGGAGTCAGAGGTCCTGAATTCGAATTGCAGCTCCTCCACTTGCAACTTGTGTAGCCTTGCACCCATCACTTCATTTATCTGTGCCTCAGTTTCCTCATCTGTAAAATAAGGGGATTAGACTAGACAGTCTCCAAGATCCCTTTCAGGTCTAAATCTCTGATCCTATGATATAATGGAGACAGAAAGCCAACGCTGATGACTTATATCAGTTTATCATTATATTTTGTACGAATTTTAAAGAAGTTAATAATCTGTGACAGGTAATTTGGATTTTTGGTCCTCAGCAGTCCTTTTTGCCACTGGAGACAATGAACTCTTCTCTCACTGCACGTTTGGGCATGTTCAATTAGCTCAGCTGTTGGCTATCTTACTCCTCCTCCCTCCCTGAAGGAAGGGGGAGCCTTAGGTTTCATTGAATAACAGTTTCCACTGGAGTGTCATTGGCTCAGTCACAGTAGGAGGGAAATACATCATTGTGTACAATGTGTACAAACAGCAGTGCTGTGGTGTGGTAGTAAGATGACTGGCCCTGGAATTGGGAGACCTGAGTTCTGATCATGGGTCTTTTCATTTACCAACTGTGTGACCTTGGGTAAGTCATTTAAATCTTCTAAACCTCATTTTCCTCATCTATAAAATGAGGAGATTGAACCATATGATCACCAAGGTTCCTTCCAGCTTTAAAATTCTATGATTCTAATGTACCTCATTTTGCCTGTGTAGAAGGAGCCACTGGAGCTATACAGACCAAATAGGGATATTTCATTGAGATTTATGAGCTGTAGACACTGTAATAACTCCATCTGGCTTTGTGTGAATTGCACTCCACAGTAATTATTTGGTTTCTCAGAGAGCCCTAACTCTTATTAATGGCTATAATGCTTTGGTCAGAATTTATGGAGAAGGCTATCTTCTTAGCATTTGTTATTTCTGGGCTGAAATGCTTGGTGGAAGAGTTTTAATAACAAGGCACCGAGATTGGTATATAGATCATGAGCAAAGACTAACAAGTCATTACTGAGTAATGCATACAAAAACAAAAAACAGCCAACTCCCCCTTCCTCCCCTGCCTCCCCAGCAAACCCCAAACCCTTGCCTGAAAAACACCCCCCCCTTTTGCTTGAGCTACACTTAAACATTTCTTTGGCTTCAGGAGAGATGCAGCTTATGGTATGAATACTAAAAGGCACTCATTGTGTTCAGAACCTCCATAGCTGAACTCTTGTAGTCAGTCAACAAACATTTATTGAGGACGTACAATGTGCCAGGCACTTTGCCAAGTGCTGGGGAGACAAAGAAAGGTAAAAGACGGTTTCTGCTCTAGTGTGATGAAAACCTAGAGACTTGTTTGGAATTAGATGACATAAGATCATAGGTCTAGAGCTAGAAGAGACCTTGAGAGGCCATCTAGTTCAGATTCCTCATTTTACAAATGAGGAAACTGAGGCCCCAGGACGTCAAAGTCATCACATAGGTTGTAATCACCAGAGGTGGTATTTGAACCCAGGTCCTTTTGACTCCAGTGCTAGGGCTCTTTCCATTTTGGCATATGTATAATTATGGGTGAAATAATTTTGAAGGAATTGAATGATTTTTATAGGCTGCTGTGAGTGATTCAAGTGTCCCTAAGCTTCAGAAGAGTATATATGAATTATTATTTATCTCATGTTATGGGATTCTTGATCTTGAAAGACAGAAATTATAATTATTAAAATTACAAATTGAAAAATTATACAGTGGTTCTCTTATGATGGCCTTACAACTCAGCTCAGAAAGAATGCAAATAAATACTTCTGGGAAGCTGATGCAAAATGTTAAGTGAAGGAGAATTGTCTAGCAAAGTAATGATGAATTAGCTTGTGGCTTAATAGGACAACTGCATGTAAAAGGTCAGTGCTATTTTTAATTACTTGTGAAATTGTTGACCATTTAAATTGTTAACCATGTCATGGGAGGGAATGGGAAGGAACTGTGTTTTAAACAACCAGTGACTTCACCTTTAACAAAGACATGATAATGATGCAAAATCAATAAATGGTGATTAAGCGCTTCCTGCTGTACAAGGTACTGAATGAATGTGATGATAGAGGCAGAGCTAACTTGTTCTCCTGATTATCCTCTGGGCCATTGGAGCTAGTCTGACTCATAAGTAGATCCCTACTACAGAATAATTTAGGCCCCTTCAGTTGGTCCGGGATCAGAGTGAACAGTCCAGGAGCTCATTATAGATCAAAGTAGGGAATAAACTGAGATCGTATGGGGTCCCTTAATGTCCTCTTCAAGTTTAACCAGCATTTTTTAGAATAAGTATATCCTGAGGCCACCAGAATCTTACAGAATTCAAGTCAATTAAATAAAATTTTATAAATGACGATTACAATAATTTTGGTAGGAGTTAACTGTGTATGGAATAGTAGAAAAACATTTGGTCTTGGAGTCAGAAGACCTGATTTCAACTCTAACACTTATTAACATAATCTTCTCCTAAACCTATCCTTCAGTCGATCAATCAATTAATCTGTAAGCATTTGTTTAGCACCTACTATGTGTCAGGCACTTTCCAGACTTCCTTTGTTCTATCAAGACGACCACCATTCTTCTATTCTTCTGGGTCATTAACCTTAAAGTCATCCTCCACTCCTCACCCATTACTACCCCATACCAGTCAATTACTCAGTCTTGTGGATTCTATCTCCTTAATATCTCTGGCATCCTTCTCCTTATATCAACTTACGTGCTGACACCCTTCACCTAGCCTTTAAAAATTTTTTTTTTAATTTTTAACTTTTTATTCCAATAAATGAGCCAGGGGCTCGAGGCTGCAAGCTGTAGCCATGTGCTCCCCAGGGTCCTCCTCTGGCTGGGATGCACGCTGGGTTGTCGGGTCTACCCCACCAGTGACCTGGTTTGAAGGCAGACTGTCATGGGTGCCGGGTGGAAGACTCTGAAGATGGCGGGAGACAGGTGCAGGAAGGGGAGGGGGAACATATTCACTTCTACAAGTTTTTGAGTTCCAAATTTCTCACCCCTCCCCCCACTCCAAGATGGCATGCATTCTGAATACCCCTTCCCCTGGTCTTTCTTCTCTTCTATCTGTTCCCCCTCCCTTCTCTTATCCCCTTCCCCTTCTACTTTCCTGTAGAGCAGGATAGACTTCTGTACCCCATTTCCCGTATTTCTTATTTCCCAGTTGCATGTGAAAACATTTTTTTTAAACATGTGTTTTTAAAACTTTGAGTTCCAAATTTTCTCCCTTCCTCCCTCCCCACCCACCCTCATTGAAAAGGCAAGCAACTCAATATAGGTTGTACATGTGCAGTTATGCAAAACACTTCCTTAGTAGACATGTTGTGAAAAACTAACTCTATTTCCCTTAATCCTATCATGCCCTCCCATTTATTCTATTCTTTCTTTTGACCCTGTCCCTCCTCAGAAGTATTTGCTTCTGATTACCCTCTTTCCCAATCTGCCCTCCTCTCTATCACCCTCCTGCTCTCTTGTCCCCTTCTCCCCCTATTTTCCTATAGGGTAAGACAGATTTCCATACCCAATTGAATGTGTCACCTAGCCTTTATCAGCTCTCATTTAGATCATAGCCATGCTTCCTAACTGGTGTCCTTGACTCCAGTCTCTCTTTTCCAATCTTCCTCCACATAGTTGCCACATTGATATCTCTAAAGCACAGGTTTGACCCAGGTCATTCTCCTACACAAGCAGCTTCAGTAAATAACTCCAGACTGACTTTATGATAAAATACAAACTCCTCTGTCTGGCATTTTAAGCCCTTACAGTCTGATTCCAACTTATCTTGCTGGATTGATTTCAGATTACTCTTCATTAAGCACTCTGTATTCCAGCTAAATTGCCCTATTTGCTTTTCCCTGTACATGGATTGTAGAGGTTGTGCCTCAGACCTTCTATTAACTCTTCCATTACATCCTTCAAGTTCCCTAGATAGATCATGATATCAGTAGCAAAAAGCAATGGTCTTGTTTCCTTTCCGCCTTTGCATATTCTCCAAATTCCTTCCTATGCCTGAAGTGCTTTCCTTCCTCTTCTCGGACTCGTGGAATCCATGACTCTTTTCAAGGCTCACTTTGAGTGTCATCTGCTATGTGAAGCAATTCCTGACTACTTTCTCCTTGGTGTTAGTACTTCTCTCCTCAGCTATTTTATATATGCATTGTCCATGTTTTAGATTTATTTACTCATTGATATACATGTTGTTTCTCCTCCCATAGAACATACGCTCCTTTGAGGGCAGGGACCATTTGTTTTTTGTTTTTTGTCTTTGTATCTCCTATACCTAGCATAGTACATGGCATGTAGGAGGCCTTTAATGAAAACTTGTTGAACTTAATTGAGAATATGACCTTAACCAAGCGAGTCACCTCTTTGATTCTGTATTTTTTCATTTTAAAAATGGGCTTGTTTTTCCATCTATAAAAATGGTGCTAATAATACTTTATGGGATAGAATAGAGGCACCTTGGAGGCTGGGATAGTTTTTGCCCTTTTTTCTATCTCCCGTGCTTATCATTAGTGCTTAATAATTGCTTGTTGATTGACTTCATTGGGTAAGATTTGCAGTAGTCTTTGAGTGACATACCGAGTTTAGGTAAGACAGTATCCTTGCCCTAATGGGCTTACAGTCTAATAGTGAAATATGACACATACACAAGTGATTATAATGCAAAATAATACAAAATGTCTTTGAAAGGTCATTACTAGAAGGCCACCCAGTATTCCGTAACTGTATAATCACTACAGAAAGAAAGGAATCATTCAAGTACACTAACAAATCTGAATGGGCAGGAGGAATCACAATTAATAAGGAAGACAGCATAGTAGGTAAGATTATCATCAGTTTGCTGTGGAAATTGCCTTTTAAGGGAAATTTAGATCCTTTAAAACTGCACTGAATAGCATTAGACATTAGAGTCTATATATATGTATGCATAGGATCCTAGTATCTCAAGAGCTGAAAGGAATCTCAAAGGTCACCTTGTCCCATTCATACCCAAACTAGAATCCCCTTGACTATATCCACTTCTGACAAGTGTTCATCTAGCCTTTGCTGAAGATCACAAGTAGGGGAGAGCTTATTATTTCCCTAGGTGGTATATTCCTACTTTTCCTATTATTGGGAAGTTTTTCTTTATACCCAAATCCACCTCTTTATATCTTCCACCCATAGCTACTAGTTCTTCCATCCTGCGGGTTCAAAATGATGGTCATGTGCCATCTTTTCACTGGACTAAATGACTTGATAATACTTGAGACTTTGATATTTTTTCTTTCTTTTGTGAAATAGCTTAGATCAGATTTTGGTTTTCCCACTATCTTAAATTTCTATCACTTGCCAAAAAATATGAGACAGCAATGTTCTAAATGAAATTTCCCAAGTTTTTATTTTGTGTCTGTTTTTCCCCCTAAATATTCTTCAGCTCCCAGCGAAAAGGAGAATTTTCAGCCCTTTGTCGTTTTGCCGAAAGAGTTCCCAGTGTATCTGTGGCAGCCCTTCCTCAGACACAACTACTTCTGTTTCCAAGATTCAGGAGATCAAAAACATTTCAGCGCTCTACTGAATGACTGCATTCGACATCTAAATCATGGTAGGTGCACCTCTTTTCTCTCCTCTCTTCTTCTTCTTCCCCTGCCACTTTCTTCTCTCTTCCTTTAAGTCCTCCCACCAGCCCAACACACATAGTTTAGGCTACACAGAGACTCAGATTGTAGGAGGAGGTATTTTCTCTTCAGTTCTTTGAAACAGTACAATGTTGCGGAAGACGAGAGTTTGAGTCATGTCTGTGAAGCTTGCAACCCATGTGACCTGAACCACTCAGAGCTTTGGTTTTCTCAAGAACTAGATGACATTCATGATAATTACCCTGCCTACTTCTCAGATTGTTCTGAGCAAAGTGCTTTGTAAAATCCTATGTAAATATGGCTTGAATAATTGTAAAAAAAAGATTATAGCCTGGTGATCACTGGTAGATTCAGTCCCTATTGAGGCTCCTGACTAAGGGGAAACAGAAGCAGCAAATAGGCTTGTGATTCTGGAACTAGTTCAGACTGTTAACCAATTTACATTCTCTATTTACTAGTATCATTCCTTCTCCTCATTCTCTCCCTGTTATTTTCATCTTCCTGACAACAGGAGTGTTCCAAGCCAGTTAGTTGCCTGTAGCCCTCATTAATCTTTATGACATTTTCAATTCTTTATTTCAACCCACTAAAGAGCAGTCACTTATTCAAAGTTACACAGCGGTCAATGGCATAGATCTCCTGATATTTTCAGCAATCCAATGCTCTTTTGATCACTCTGCCTCTCATAGAGAATGCTGAAGAACAATGACTCATGTCCATAAAGGATTTCTGAAAGAAGAAAATGACGTTTATTTTGACTAAGAGATTTAGAGCTGGAAGGGACCTTGGAGGTCAATCTAGTTCAACCTCTCATTTTGGAGATAAGAAACCAGGGGCCCAGGACTTTGAGTGACTAACCTAAGGAGACACACAGCTGGGATTTGAATTGTCTCTTTGTGTGCCTCGTTGTGTGTAAATTGCTTCCTTGGAACTCCAGAAAGCAGAGGTGATAGAGTGCTAGGCCTGGAATCTGGAAGATCTCAGTTCAGACCCAGCCTCAGTCACCTAGTGGCTAGATCATCCTGGGCACGTCGCTTAACCTCTGTTTTCTTCAGTTTCCTCAACTGTAAAATAATAGCATGTAGATATGCTATTATAGAGAAAATATATAGACATAATGATAGCACTTATCTCCCAGGATTGTTTAAGGATCAAATGAGATAATACTTATAAAGCACTTGCACCCTGCCTGGCGCATTGTAGGTGCTTAATAAATATTTGTTCCCTTCCCCTCTCTCCCCATTTATCGTGGATCCAGGGACTATCACCTCATCCCATTGTACCTATATTTCCTACCAGAGTTGGTTTGCCTGGATGTGTCTGTTCAGGGGTTTCCCCTAAAGTCAGACTGCAACAGAGTTTGTCTCATGAAAGATGAGTGAGTCACTGATGACGAATCTCTTTCAGTCTACCTCATGTGTTTGGTTGCCCTGTAAATGGAAAGAAATGATGAAGGGATGAAGAGGCAAAAGGAAATACATAATGTTACTTCACTTTGCCATAGCAACTGAGTAACAGAGGGCATAATTTTACCCCCGTGACCCATTTGGAGCGTTACAAAAAAGGTCCACTTGTTTCTCCTCTCTCTTCTGGTGCACCAGCCTCTGAAGCCAAGGAGCCCCAAATCCTGTCCCTGTCTGGTTTCCCAGCATCTCATTAGCCTCTAACACTGCTGTGCCCAAGGCCAAAGTCTGGTATTAACAAGCAGTTGTTAATGAAGCACTAAGACTGTGACATTTCAATAGGGAGTGCTTGCCTAGCTCCAGCCAGATGAACCCTTTTGCATTCCCCCTTTTGTGCACTTAATAGGAAGTCCTCCTAGGACACAACTGGGCTCTGGTTAGCTTCCACTCAGGGCTCCATTTATGGAAGATAACCATAGATCTAAACATGGCTTGGCTCTCCAGTATGTTATCTAAGGCAGTAATGTAATGAGGTCCAATCAGGTTTCCCTGGCACCGGGGAGCATTCCTCTGCCTTGAGGCCAGTCTTCCTTCGTTGAGGCCTTCATACAGGCTTCATGTGGTTTGGCAAAACCTCCAGTTCATAACCGGAGGCCACCACATTACTACAGGGAACAATCCTTTACTGTCATGAGGCTGGATGACCTCATGGGTCTTTCCCCACCTCCCTCTTCTGTTTCTGTTTTTGACAGTATGAGGAACAACTTATCTTTTGTTGAGCTATGCCTTGATTGCTGGATGACTTTTTCTGTTCCAGTGATTCATTGTGAGTCTTTCAGGAAGTCACTTAATGTCCCCAAAGATCACCTGTTAGTTGGGAGTAAGACACATGATTTGCCAACAGTTCACATTGTTTTTATTTATGTAGAGATCTTATAGGTAAGGGTGAAGCCAGAGGCAGCTGCTGCAGTAGATAGAATGATGGACCTGGAGTCAGGAAGACCTGAGTAAAATACCATACATATGCTAGCTGTGTGACCCTGGGCAAGTCACTTCACCTCTGTCTATCTCAGTTTCTCATCTGTAAAATGGGGGAAATATTAGTACCTTTCTCCCAGAGTTTTTGTGAGGATAAAATAATATTCATAAAGTACTTTGCAAACTTTAAAGTACTATTTAAATGCTAGCTATTATTATTGATAAAAATATGGAATAACTTAAAAGGAACTATATTGATACATGTCATATTTTGTGGATAGAATGCTCAGTTTGAACTTAGGCAGACATGGGCTCATTATTCTCTCAGATACTAGTTATATGAAAATGGGCAAGCCATTTACCCCAACACAGGTTTCCTCATTTGTTAACAGAGATAATCATACCCATTGTATATTATTCACAGTCCTATTACTAGGCTCAAATGAGATAATGGATGTATAGCACTTTGCATAGCCCTATATAAATGTTAAGGAAAGGTTGGGGGTGCTGTCCAAAAGAATTCAACGCAAGCCTTCTTTCAGCCAAAGACAAGGCTTATTAGAACATGTCTTGTTGGCCAGACTCTCAAAGAGTCTGAACATTAGTGAGCTATTGTCTAGATTATAAGAATCTGAGCAGTGGCCAAATTTTAAGAATCTGAGCACTTTAATGGAGACAAGATAGACCTTATATACAGAGAGACTGTGGGAGGGATCTAGGAGTGGCCAAGTAGTCTTCTGGGACTGTGAGGTGATAGTATGCCAGGGACCTGGACCATGTAGCCAAGGGAGAATGGGGCCTAGCTAGAATTAAGGGTGGGAAGTGGCTAGGGGCCATAGGGAGGTAAGACAATGGAGGGCGGCTAGGCTAGGTTAAGGGTAACAGAGAATGGGGAGATTGGACATAGAGACAGTGAAAGGCAAGTTGATGGTATTATAGCCTCAGGTGAATGCCAGAGATTTGGCCATGTGGGAAAGTCCAGGGTTTTTCCTTTCTGGGGTCCACATCCCAACCCCATCAATAGTACCAGCCTCACAGGGTGGTTGTGAGGATCAAACAATTTAATCTGTGTAAAGTGACTTGTAAACATTGAAGTGCAATAAATAGGTTAGCTATATTATTATGAAATTAGTGAAAGAACTGACTGGCATGTAGCGTTTGCGGTAGCTAGGGGGACATCTCTGCTTTACTGAGTTCATGTGGTTTTAACCTTAAAGTGCTATATAAATGTTTGTTATTCATTTTTGCATGTTTCCCAAGGGCCCAGCATAGTGCTTTATGTCAAAGAAATAATATTAATATAATACAGTACTCTGTGATTTAGGCCCAAGTCTACCAGAAATGGTTTTTATTTCATTTATTGCTAATTTATATCCAAGCCATTTCTAGCTTGAACAGGGGGTCCTGAGTGGCACAATGCCCTAGGCACCCTGGCGTGACTCTACCCCAGAAGATTTCGGGTTACATTTGTAAGAACCTTGAACCAGGAAGTTGTATCTTAAAATACAGCCAAGGTTAATTTCCAGAATTGAGCGATCATGGCTCTCTCCACTTACTCTGTGAACACTCTTTTGGAGAAACCAATGGTGTTCCTCCCATAGATGTATATCAATAATTCAAAATGAATAGGAGTCAGTTTGAATGCTTCCTTTTGAATGGAAGAGGGTATTTGCCAAGGGTGGACCCTTGTCTAATCTCTCCAGGGGGGTAGAGGAAAGAGGTTTCCCTTAGATGGATCAGTATCTTGGTCAGTACCTGCTGTGAGGAAATGCAATATTTTTACCTTGATTAGAAGAACATGATATTAAATATCTGATCATCACCCTTAATCCAATCATCTAATAAGAGATTCTTTTTCCTTTTTTCCAGACTTATTTCACCCACCTTTCCAAGGGGCTTTTCCTTAGACTCTGGAAAGGGCTTTAGAGCAAAACATTATTTCTTAATATTTAATATTTCTAGAGAAACTAAAAAGGAGATTTTAATAATACTTCCACACTTCCATATAGTAAGCACCTAATAAAGGTATGATAAATTGAATGCTTGATCAATAGAATTGAATTTCTGCAACGCCTTAAGGTTTATAAAATGCTTTTCATGCAACAAGCCTGTGAAATTGGCAGAGTAGGTTTTAATATCCTCCTCATTTTATAGTTGAGAAAATGAGCACCCAGAAAAGTTTGGTGACTTGCTCAAGATTACACATCTAGTTGAAGTTTGAGCTTCTTTACCATGTCAGACTCTTGTGATCATTTGGGTTTTTGCATCTCTCTCCAATCAAATCATTTGTTGCATTTTTAAGGGTTTGTAAATGTTCTCAACAGTTTGCTTTGAATGTTATGTTATGTTTTCTGTTTCTGTATTGGGGCTCATGTCTCTCCAATAGCTTCTCTTCATTCTGCTTCCCTGGAATGAACTTGGTATTCTTCCGTTTCGGCTTTTGTTGTTCAGTCATTTCAGTTGTGTATGACTCTTCAAGAATCCTTTTTGTGGTTTTCTGGGCAAAGACACTGTATTAGTTTGCCACTTCCTTCTCCAGCTCATTTTACAGATGAGGAAACTGAGGCAAACAAGTAACTTTCCAG